GCGATTCTGGTGTCAGCAGTAGCTTACGGTCCGTTGCACGTAGAACTAAGAGGGTGCTAGGCTGATTCAGTGGGAGATGGCCAGGTCTTGTTTGAATTGGTCGAATGTGCCGCTAAAATGCCGGACAACTTCGATCTTTGACATTTTATCGATTTCATTAGCCGAACGCGCATAAATTGATCTTCTTGCAGCGAATATGTTTTTCGGAAGAGCTTCGCGATCATGTTTGTGCAATTATAACCGGGCGTCGATCAATTTCTTGGCTTCAATCCATAGTGACTCGTTTGTTGATGAGAATTTTCGAATGAAAGTTTACTAGAATTTATTCTGCGAGACTTGCACTCGTGGATAGAGTAATTAATTATAGATGAATTAACTTCTTTCAACTCATATGGACGTATATAACACTTTTAATGGTGATTACACTGATAAGAAGTACGTGGGGATGAATCTGCAATTAACGTCGACGTATGCTCAAAGTGTAATTAGAGCTGTTATAATTTGTGACTTATAATGGCTTCTAATTTGCAATAAAGTTCGTCACTTTTTCTCAAGAGTCGCGTACCAAAAATTATGCAGCACTGTTTCAGAAAAGGCCGTCCACGTTGGCTGCGCGCAACTGTTCAAGCTACCTGGGTCCCTCGTTAATATGCGCGCTTGAATTTTATGTATATCAGCATTTTATAAAAGCGATTTTGGTCGCGCCGCGGCACGATGTAATTAACATGCAATCTTGATGGCGGGTAGACGACAAGAATGTAGCAGTTTAATGAATCGCTTGGGAAGGACGGGATCAACCATCGTGATGATATTTATTGTAAACATTATTAAACACTATCCTCTTATAACCAAGATGAGACCTTTTAAATTATGCTTCTCGGCAAAAAAGCTTAGTAATCTCAGCAACAAAGTTGCAAATCATACTTCCGAAAATTTCCAACGACTACTTTCGCTCTTTATTTTACGTCCTCCAAATAACCGCTACAATTAAGTTACAACTACACGCTACAGATAGATACAATTACTTCCATCTTCTTTCCTACATCAACCACAAGATCCAAAACCCTGGATACTTTTCCATACTCATTATTCCAAACACTTCCGCCTTGGGGAACCAGTTAAAACCGCGTCGCGAAGATACCCGTTTCACGGGTAATTTTAAATTTTTCGCTAATTAAGTTCCTTCCAGTCTGGTGAGCAGCGAAATTTCGTAACTGTTTCATTACGTTGACTTTCTGAATAAACATCGTACGTCCATCGTTTATAGGACGGTCCAGTTTAAGGACCACGTCTACAAACGCGTGGCCCACGAACACGCCCGAGCGACGTCCGGCCACGTGGATGCATGTATGACAGAAGCAGCGAAGGCTCGACTTTGGGAGCCCTCGGGGTACGCAAGACGTATATAGGCTGCCTGTCTTACGCATCCCGCCGCACACGAGGCATACATCACTTCACGTGTGAATCCTCACCACCGCACCGGCCGGCCGCTGCCGCCGCTCACCCTTTGGATACCTTTTCCCCAGTCATCGTTCTTCTGCGGCCGAGTGGATGTGTTGGTAATTATTGTTACGAGGGATAAGAAGAACGACGGCGAAGAGAGAAACAGCGGGGTTCGGTGCATGGATCTTCCTTCAGTGGTCCCCTGTAATCAGACAGCCGGACCTGGCAGCTAGGTAGGAGGAGCAAAGTGAAACGGCGAGAAAGAGAAACTCCGGGACGCGTATTAGCGACGTTTCTAGTTTAAAGTGTTGCTTTAACGAAAGACATTGTTTCCCGATAGACAATGTACTGCGGGACGAATTATTGGATTGAGTCTGTCTGGAGTTATGCAATTTTTTTGTTAGTGAACATTGTAATGCAGCAACGACGGCTGGAAGATTTTCTGTTTAATACTATGTAGGTTTAGAAAAAACGGCAATTTGATGCATATTGTATTTTATAAACATTATTCGGTGAATGTTTACGATGATCTTGACGCTGTAATTACACAGTATGTGTCCTAATTTTGAATCCTCGCCAAGATCTAAATGAACGTTAAGTTTTCCTTCGTAGCTGCAGCAATTCGTAAAAATGATTGGACATTAGACAGTATTGACTTTGTATTAATTTAATTTGTGTCTTGATAAAATATTACTTGCACTTTAGCAACTACTGTTAGTCTCTATAATATATTTTCGTACGTAACGCGTCGTTGCTTAGTAGAACCAAAGAGTATGTAAACAAACTTAGCAAAACGTATTTATATAGCAGCTTATCCAAACATACTTAACTTACCAGCTTATCTTTGCAGACTAATCGGACATAATTACAATTGATTTTCATTGCAACGTCTTTTATCAGCGGGGTCATTTCGACTGCTAATCTACCGAATCCGTCGACTACTAATTTTCTCGAAACTCGTATAATGCGAACGTAAACACACAATATGGCCGCCGCCATTATATCGCTCCGAATAAGAAAAAGCCGAATCGCCTCGCGAATGCAACGAACTTCCAGACGTATATGCATCGGTTACCACTCGAGATTGAAAGGGAATGTTTTCGGGTTTCGCGGATTGGAAAATAAGTGTAATAAGTCCCCAATGATTTACGATGTGGATACTTTATACTCGCGGATAATTGGAACCCGGCAACAGTGGTAACAACTTTTATGCGTGAAATAAGAAAGGCACCACCACGTAGATCACGGACGTTCATTCGCGCGGGTTAACATCGAATTATCTTTCGTGGTGTAATTATCATTACCCGTGTGTAATTAAATTATTTCTCGAAGCCTTCGAGGAATTTAACCTGTTTTACCGCTTTTAGAATTTCGCTTGATAGCACGATTGTACACACACAAACCACGGGTTTCAGCTACGTAATTACGGGTACGATAATTCATCGCCGCGCGTTGCGTATATGTGTGTGTGTAGGTACGCGTGTTACGGACGTACGAGTTTCGTTAATAACGGTTTGCACCTCTACCATGGGTAATTAATGCTTCCCACTACGGGCGGCGGAGCTGATTTCGTATTCGGGAAAAAAGAGATGTCCTTATTATCTTAAACACCGGCTTTCGGTCAAATCTGGATTTGTCGATCGGCAACGATCGGTTAAAATGCTCTGGCCGCGTCTCGCCATCGGGGCGATAAATTTTCAAACGCAGGGGAACAGCGAATGACCGAAAGGCACGTTTCGCGTTGCTTTGTCCCTTCAACTCCCCTCATGCCTCCCTCGACCGCTTTCCTTTCTGCTTCTCTTCTCTTTCTTCAATCATTCCGTACCGCTTCACCTTCCTCTGCTCCTACTCCACAAATTTACAATGCCCTCGCTTGTAATAAGCGGTTGCGCGCTTTGTTCACGATTATGAGCTCACTTCGGGTACCGAGGGGACTTATCGAGTTAAGGCTCCTCTGACCGCGGAACACCAAAATATCTGCCCTTTGAAATCCAACGCCGCGAGCAGAAAGAAAGATCTTCGTTTGTAAGTACTTGTTGTCATTAATCGGTTCGTCGCCAGTTCGTGGTGAACCGGACGATTTTATAAGTACGTATATCGAACATGTTTTTCAAAAGTTTTCTTGACGTTAAACTCTGTTGAGATAATTTTCGGTAAACTTAGTTTATCCGAGTTAAGTTAGCTATGGAAACAACGTATAGGGTGTAAAGATTTATTTGTCGTTGATGAATTTTCAGACCTCTGATCAGGAAATTTTCGTTACTTCTAGAGAAATTATATTTTCTTTTAAAATATGAATGGAAAACTTTGATAGTTACAGGGACTCGGAAAACTTTAAACGTTCACTGAAATGATCGATACTTATTTCGTAGGTAAGTAACGCCAGTTGCATGTTAACGAAATTGGTGTTACCTGAAAAAACACATGAAAGAGGATCACGATTATAGAACAATAGAAAGGTTATTCTGCAATCGATAACGTAAAAAAAGACTCTACTAAAACAGAAAATTATATACTTTCTCTGCGTGATCGGAGCAAGAAATGAAAAAAAAACGGCAGGTACTAGTTAATAAATCAAAGATTTGCCGATATATCGCCTTTTACGTGGAAAAGGGTGAATATCAAATGTGATAGGAAAATAGCGGATTCTATTCCATTAATATTTAACAAGATCTATGCGTTCGGAGCAATAGAAAGTATATTTTTTAGTGTCTCAATTGCAAAGTGATAGGAATGGCACACGAACGACCAAGATGGGGGAGTCACAGTGTCAGTGGCGGTGAAAAATTTGCCAATTAAAAAAAATCTCATTTCTCCTGGTAACGAGGGGCGGCGTGCAATTAACGTCAGCGGCGAAAATGATTTATGGGGTGAGTAGAGAAGGGTGTGAGTCGTGGGCGAGAGGCTAGCTTATCATAAATTAATGAATTATCAGTTCTCACTGCGTGGTATGAGGACACGAGGGAGGAAGTGGCACACTACGTCAATATTTAAAATATTCGTCGGTGTACTCCGATCTCCTAGAAATTCGTTTTGTGCCAGTTATTTTGTACGCAAAACTTCTACTCATTTCTCGTAGTTTTAACAGCTAAACTGCAATATAAATATTTTCAATAATAAAAATATGTAGGCACATTAAAACAAGACGAGTAATTTTTATCTGTCAAACTTTCACGAAACTTTTTCCGCTCAATTCACTAAATAACATAATATTACAAGACTGAAGTCTCCCTTTTCATATAATTTCTACGTGTAATTACGTATTCAAGATACATCAGAACTACTTACACGAACTTATAACATCAACTGCTACTACAACTTCAACAGAAATCCACGTAACAAACAAAAGCATTCAAACGAAAAATATCATTAGACCATCAAGGGATGCGAATACGTCAGAACCTAATATACACGGCAGATAGGCATAGAATATCGATTATCCGGCAACCTATCGGAAAAGTTAAATAGTGATGACGTACAGGACATTCCTACTTCGTCGACCGTGATCATCTCACGGAGAAACAGGGTTCACGGGTCGGCGCATAGGCGCCGCCACTGTTACCAACATGGCCACGTGCTGAACGTGTTTACGCGAAAGTACGTAATCATTCGTATGTTTCTTGTTCATACGGCGAAGTATTGTCCGCGAGATTACGGTGCTGAGTTTTTTCGACATGCGTGCACGGTGACTAACCGTTATTAGCGTGCTCCTTGAGGGCATGGCTGGTGCAAACAAGATGTGCACCTGCGACATCAAGAATGTGAGTACCTGTTCCTCTGTCAAGCAGGATGCACCCACTAGTAGAGTGGTAAGGAGTTACCGACCCCATGGAAGTCTAGCCCGACTACTTTACGAGAAGCAGCGGGCAGACGAGCAGCTCGAGGCCTACGACAAAACTCAGGCAAGTACAACTTGGTAACTAGGTTACGTAGCCTGTCCAATACTGATCCTCAGTCTCGGGACCGCGGGTATGTGCTTGCATTGCCGCCTGAGGTCACGCCAGCGGTCTCGGGACCGTAGATACAGTAGGTCACGTCGATGAGCGTAATGTTACGTGTACGTATCTTCCTCCTATTTACTTTTATAATAGATCTCTGCAACACTACAACATGACATATTTTTAACAACAAGTGTCGTAACAATAACTACTATATTAATGTAAATACATTGTAATATTAACATAAACTAAACATAGCGTATATAATAATAAACTACAAGCAATCATCGTGATAACCATAAAATCATGTCCAGTACCACGAACTCGTGCACCGAACGGTGTAAAGAACGGTGAAAACTAAAGTGGATCGCGATTCGGATAAGATAATATTGATTTGAATGCAACCGATTCATGCGTTATCGTCGAATTCGATTGCGCGTCCGGCCCGACGTCAATGTTAATCACGCTTAATTATACCGGGCCGAAAAAAATCCCCCTTTTCCGAGAATTCGGTCTTTAAAATCTGGACTCCGGTCACTCCGAAGTGGTGCCGCACGGGCCAGCGATGTAATTAGGATGCTGAGGGAGGAAACGGTCCACCGGGGGAGGGGGGGAGCAGCGTGGGGAGAGGAGGAGGTCAGTAATAATTAGTACAATTACCGCGCAAGGCCAACCACTGACTAAAACCTCTTTCCTCGAAGCTGCTCAAGAGTCGAGACCGCGGCTCGGTAATTACGGGACAATTACGTCCTCGATATTCCTGAAACATCTCCGAAGCGGCTCCGAGCGGTGCGCCCTCGTCTTCGGTTCTGTACGTGAACCACGAGTTGATCCTATTTAGAATTACCCTTGTTCGGTTGTTTTTAATTTCGCTACGATGACGGAAGCACCGGTTGATAGTACGGAGTTCTATCAATATAAGCGATACGTCACGACCCTGCAATTTGCGGTTCGTGGGATTATCCTCGCGACGATTCGCAAACGGTGTTGCTGCATACTAATTTTAATTGCTTCGGTTATACACGGTGCGTACATTAAGTTAGCGTACGTGCATTCCTGTAGAATGTTGAAGAATGATGCAAAAGGCGAACGTAAATCGACGAAACGATAACGTTTCCTGAGTTTCAAGATCTGGGAAATTAAACAGCGTGATTCAGCGTGATTGGCGACGAATGGAAACAACGTAATTGTTGAGTAGAAGACTGGAAGGAAATCCTATAACTGAATCGAAGTCGAAAATTGTATAATCGTAAACAATTATGGTAAATATTTCCTACTGAAACTATTATAAATTTCAGCAAGGAGCGTGCAAGAATAGTCACCGCTATTTCGAACGATCGCATTGCAGAATGACATTGCCAGGACAAAACGTACATACGGTGAATCAAAATTTGCGAACTCGGTTCGACAGGCGAGATGAAAGCCCCAAAACATAAATAACTCAAGACATTTGCGCAACATCGTTTGTACATTGGGCGCAACTCGCACGCCTCCCGCGTCGACAAACAATATTGCTGCGTCCTCACTGTCGCGACGTACACAAACAATAGTTAATGTCCCGTCGCATATCTGGGCCTAAGTCAAATAGAGTGCGACGCGCGCGCGCGAGAGGCGCGGCGGGCAGAAGTAAAATCCATTCGCGGACGAGCCTGACTAGCGGAAGAACGAAGCTTTTATCGATGTTTGCGAGAACCTTCGCTACGACAGAGAGCAAATCGATTCGGAAGGCTGGCTGAGCCGAGTGCTCGAGCAGGTGCCCGCAGGAAAAGAGAAGAATCCCATTCGGTCGCGTGAAACGAGAAATTTGAAATTCGTGAAGAGGGACGTCCCCGCGAGATTTCAACCCCCAACTCCGACTGCGACCAAAATCGACGCAAGACGTTACTTCCTCCTCACCCCCCGGCCCTTCCGCGCCAGCCAGCCAGCCAGCCAGCCAGCTACCCTCCTCTGCCTTCCGCGCTATGTTTCTAGGGCTGCCAACATCTAATATCCCTGAGCAGTCTGAAAACTTTACTCTCAGACAGAGGGGCGTGAATATGTCGACCCGACGGTGTTTTTAGGTTTTTAAAAGGCTGGCGTGCGCGCACCGTCGTCGGCCGCGAGAAAAGGGAGACGGTCTGCGGGAAGGCGCTCCTCTAAAATATTAAATGACTGATGGATGAGACTCCTGAGAGGGAGAGAGAAGCGGCCTTTAGACGACAAAGATATCTACCACCGAGACGTTTGCGTCTTCCTACAAACCGCCGCTTTTACCCCGGGAATTTTAACTTACCACCACTCGCACGCCAGTTGTCGTAGCTGTCGTCGATCTTCGCGCGTCAAGAAACTCTCCGACGTATGCGTAGAGCTTGCGAAATCCCTGCGACGACGCGCGTGTCTCGTTCGAGCTGGCGATGATGATAGCGACACTTGCGATTACGATGTTTGCACCCTTGAGGTAGAAGGAAACACTGTTCTACTTGCGGTTTCCATTGGTTCACGATTGATATTGATAAAGAGACACGATGGTAGATAATGGGATTGTGATGTGATCGTGATTGTGCATGGGAAAATGCAGCCTCTTTAGAAACCTCCATTTCGGGGTAAAACTGTTTTCAATAGCCTTCATGAAACTACGTTTTTGAACGGATGGATGCTGAAAGAACTGTTCCTTATTTTTAAATCCTCTTTTCAAAGACCGTTTAATTGCCGAGTCTTCGAACGATCCGATTCGAAACTCCAAGGAAACCGTTACACAATGAGCAATGAGGAAAAGCAGATCTCCTCAGTCCGCGATTTCTAGACATTTGAAACCAGCTGCAAGATAAATCTCAGTTACGATAAATATACAGGCCGAGTGGACGGGGTGGCGAGCAACGGCGCGCGGCGCGCATGATCGGGAGTAAATGACAATGTAAACAATATCGAGCGAGTGCCGATAACCGGTACACGGTACGCGATGAATGCAAAAGGAGGAACGGTCGTTATCGGTCGCAGGGACGAGCACGCGGAGATTGTTTGAGGAAAGAAGGTGGCGAAGATGATACGTCTCGGGCGTTTATGGCCCGGGAACGGAGTCCCGGGTGTTCCAGGGCAGTTCCAGGCCGAGCGGAATCACAGCGGAAGATCTAGGCCCGATCCACCGATAAACCCGGATGGCCGGCGGATCTTCGTTTATCAATTGGTCTGATCGCGGCGTCCCTTGCGAACGGTCGCGTCAACGCGGCCGGTTTCGCGGGAAAAAACTGATTTCTGGAGCCTCGCGTTGCCCCGGCCATCGAATAGTCGTATTTATGTCTTTATTCGTAACGCAGAATACCGGTTCCAAGCGAAGAACAAGATCCGCCGGGGTGGATTCTTCAGCGCGTACATGATACGCTTTGTCGCCGAAGTTCTTACGCGTCCAACGCCGCGGTCCCCCTCTCCGGAGGCCGGCCGAGTGAGGCCGCTGATTTGAAATTCGAGGAGCAAAAAATCGCAAAAGACGAATCGATGAAATGAAAGATTCCATTAAATCCTGGGCTCCCTCACCCCACTCCCCTCGCTTTTGCTCGCCGGCGTTTCTCATTTCTGTCAATTACTTTTTACCGGTCCCAGCGTCTCATCGCCGGTAATCATGCAAAAATACTAAACACGGCACACCGGGGTTTTTGCGTTTTCTTCTCCCGACTTCGATGAAGTTAGCTATGATGCTAGACCCCTCCGGCTCGCTTCTCCTTCTTCTTCCTCTCGATGCCCGCCTCGTACCGGCTGCTTTTTTCGCGATCGTCGTGGATTAAACGCGACAGTTAATTTTGTACTTACTGGGACCTGATTGTGTGAAATTCAACCGCTGAACTATTGGTAATTGCAATAATACATGTCACGATACAACGAACGAATGACGGAATCAATGATGTCGATGTATACAAGGTCTGAGTTGGGTGTTCGAGCTGTGAATCGCTATAGATTAAACGGAGCAATTGATTATATGTACCATCTGATTGTACCAAGTACTGAAGTTTCCATAGCTATAATACGAATGCTTCCATGCGTATGGTATACATAAAAATTAACTATCACGGTTGGAGGTGTACGCGGTAAACCGATAACATGGATAACTTGAAAATCTAGAAGAATATACATACATACGGATGGAGCTTCTTTCGAGAACAATAATATCTTATTATCAGTTCTACCAAATGCTATCTGCAAATATGTGTAAGGTAATCTAATTATTCCAAGAACGCCGCGAAAGGCAGTCGCGTCTACACGATGTCGACCGATAACCGCTGGGTGAACTCACGTGTACGCGATATCGGCCTCTAAACCCGTTGGAACCGTGAAGAGGCATCGCGATATCGCTGCCGTGCCGAGCGGCATTAACGACTGACAGTTCTCCATGGCCGATGGTGGAGGGTAGAGAGAAGGCTGTCATAACAGCACGGAAAATCCTGGAAATCCTGTTGAAAAAATGCACTTAGAATGGGGCGGATGAGACGGTCGAGCCGCACACATCGTAATTTGCAAGTTATTTTGCGCGGCTATACAGATCGGATAACGAAACCGCGGTACTGACACAGATCGTTATCGGCTCGTTCTGGAAACATTCCTCAGGCGCACGACGTAAATCCAAGGACGTACGTAACAAGAGAGTACTCTTCCAAGCGTTTCACGCATGATCGATCGTGACCGTGCATCAAGGAAAAAGGAGTCGAAAGGATTATATCGATTCCCCTGCGTGCGTACCACGTCCGCGTGCATGCGCCCCATACCTGATAGCGATCTAATTCATTTTGAGCCTATCATTCTCACCGGGCTAAAGTGATTCGAAAATGATACTCGCGAGCAGGTATCGATCCCCTTATTCTTTTCGACCCTTAATCGCCAGGGTGAATTTCTCATTGCCCTGAAATTTCTGCGCGTCGTAAATATTTTGATGTTTTGTCTACAACAGATGAATCGCGTTTCGAAACTACAGTTTAAGAACCAGTGGCGAAGGTAGC